ACTTATGGCTTAGTTATGACACTTTACAGGTTTTCGGTTTCCGCCATTTTGTGGGCGTGGCAGTGGGCCGATTTTGTCCATCTTCGAACTTAACCTTCTTATGGAGCCAAGTAATACGAGTACCAAGTTTCATCATGATATCTCAATTTTTACTCAAGTTACAGCTTGCACGGACGGACGGACAGACGGACAGACGGACAGACAGACAGACATCCGGATTTCAACTCTACTCGTCACCCTGATCGCTTTGGTCTATAYAACCCTATAATACTCTCTTTAGCAACTTTGTTGCGAGAGTATAAAAATAGCTATATTCCATTCATGAATTTTCAGGAACTAGTGAAACGAAAACACCTCATATGTATCGCATAAGTTTGTAGATTACATAATGACGAGTTATTCAAATTAAATAAGGTTTCGCATAATACTTATACGGAATTGAACTCTAAAGGAAATTTTCAGCAGTCGAGCAGAGCAAAAGGGTGGAATAATATGAGACTCTGTTAATTTTTTCAAAAATTTATTTCAAAAAAGTGCTATGAAAAACTAAATTCATAATAATTGACAAAATCAGTGCGATAGAAAGCCGTGAYATTTTATTATGAGTTGTGTTGTTGTTATGTATATATTATTACAATTATAATTTKTTATAAGAACTTTGAAAAGTTTTAATCATTTYTTTATAATATTRGTCTAGTATTTACTTATAATATYCATACACGTATTAGGGGTTATGTCTGATCCACTAGAGAATCGAACGATTAAAAATTATCTCGAAAATCAAAATGCCTCAATGTTATTTTTAGGGAACTTAATAAATATAATTTAACGCTCAAGAAACAAAGTCCTTTAGAGTCAGACTCTACATTTTGGCTTATTCTACATGTATATTTCAATCTATTGGAAATATTTTTGGCGACGATCCTATTCTTAAGTAAGTAAGCTCTTAAGTAYCTCTTTATATATTACAATATATTAATGAATACAGTAAATATAAGTTGCCCTTAAGTAATTATATTGGAAAGACGTTACCGCAACTGTTGCCACCTACCATGAAGAGATTTTTTCCGRAACGAATAGAAGGTGTGATTAAGTGTGCTATACCAAGTTTTTATGGGCGTATTATCAAATAAATCAGCTTGAAGCGATTCCGAATATTTACTCTCTCCTTGAATTTGCAAGAATTCTTTGAGAATAGGCTTCTCGTGGTGAACTTGTTATATGCACATACAGGAAAGAAGCGGCTGTTTCTAAGATAGCATTAGACATAGTACTCTGAAGTTCAGACACTTTCAGTAAGAAAAGCATTTAATCCGACAGCAGGGAGGAAGTATTTGCGCTCAATACCGTCAGCTTACTTTATTATCGAACTCCTTTGGAATAGCCGGTAACTTTAAAGCTTATGAGTWAGTATTATAAGGTACCCAGTGACGCTATTTACCCGCACTGAGCTATTTACCCTTAGAAAATTTCATCTTGCCTCAATCGTTAGAGTCCGTCTTGAATCATGTCCAATTGGCATTCATACAAGAGGGCTTAAAATTGTGGGGGACGCAACCCGTCAAACTAGTAAGGACGAAACTGCGGCATTCAGGCAGATTATCCTTTATTTTCCAGTGTTTATTAGTTTCAACTGATATTAAATACCTTAACAACTTTGTGAKAGATTCAAAAGGGGCTTATCATATCTTATGTAGGACAAGGTAACACAACCGACCACACTTCTACGCTGTTCATGTGAGACCGCTTAACCTAACCCGATCGAATCGATTAAACTACTTTAACTTTAGTAATTAAAGACRACTTATTTTAGAAGAAAGTACTCAAAATTAACATCTTACACAAATACAAAAGATTCTCCACACTAACTTGATGCCTTGCCAAATTGCAGATATAACAAAATTTGAAGGATTAGGTCCCATATATACATATATATAGACAGACGAAAAAAGTTAATCGCTTTAGCTCGACACGCTGATCATTTAGAAACATATTTCATACGGTGACCGACGTTTGCTTTTGGGTCTTTGTGGCACATTTCAAATTTAACATTTTTCAACTAATATTTGAAAAAACTTAATTCGTACGAAGTACGCTTATTACAGTTCCAATGTCTTGTTAAAGTTGGCCAACTACTTTCTGGAAATGAGAGAAATGTCAGGGAGCTTTAATTTCTTTTTTAAAAATCCCAACGGAGTCCGTATTAATGACCTCGAACGTTTGTAAAGTAAAAAACACGTTGAGCCTTCTTGTTCAACATATACCTACTCACTCATATAAGTGCGAAAGGTGTACAGAGAGCAAATGTATGCTGTTTGTATTCATAAGACCACATTAGTAAATAGAGGATATGCACTGTATCCTTTGTTTATCTCCTGACGCGCTTTCGCCGCACTCAGTGGTTGCGTCTTCAGCCAACAGAAGTAAAGTCTAAGGACAAGTAAATATAATGTAAGTAGTACAGAGACTGCCTGGTATGTAGAAATCTTTTCATATATATGTAACTACATATATCATATAAACACATATTAACTGCGGGTGTCCTTGCAGCCTTGTTGAGATATCTTATAGGTACCTTATAGCACATGTTTGTGTAGTTTCCTTTATTTTTGTATAAATATGTGAATTTAGGCTTTCTAACATTAAAAGAATATATTTGTTATATATATAAATAGACTTGTGTGAGTTCCTTAGAAGTTACAATCGCGGAGTGTCATATACATAAATATATATTTTTGCACATAATATTTTTTGATATATGTATAGTATGTAATACATACGTACACATATAAGCATAATATTAATATTAAGTCCTAAAAGGGCTACTGTATTGTGTATGTATTAAGTTAAAGCTTCAGTTTGAAATATCCTTCAACGATTCACATAACACTTGCAACTGTTGAGGTATTAATGGAAGACAGCGCTTTGCTGTTTTGTTTGCTTCATATAGGCCATAGAAAGTATGTAATTGTATTGTCAAAGCTTAGAAKGAAATCARTTATGAGAAAAATCCAATATTCCGRCGARAAGGGMMTTGTCGGGAACTACACCGAATGGAATTGGTGATTGCGTTATTGATATTATTGTTTCTATATTTTCKTAATTAASGAGTTGCATGARAATTTAAAATGTTGTTAACAATTGKGATTGGAACCGGKTGATTTAATTGGGTACCATAGTTAAAAATGTGATCTCTATATGTAAGTTAGTGAGAGGTTCTCAGCTGTTTATCCATRCCGCGATGAATTTATTGGGTTTGCCAGAAAATTTTTATGTTATGACATGAAAAATTTGCTCAATAATTTTTAGCTATCCAATGCAATAGAAATTCAAATTATTTACTCAGTAACTCGTTGATTAAAACCTAATCTCTTAAGGTGTCAATGTCACAAAGGCACTCTCATAGAAATCCCCGTCTCTCTTGGAAAACTCTAGGACAGCCGATTTTCATAAGCTGTTGATGCTAGGCCCAAACTATAGGATGGGTGTGGGGTTCTCCTGATGGAGCAGAATTCCTGATATTATATTATTCAAGTATTTTGGAAGAAGTGCCCACTTTATTACGACCAAACGTACGGGTACAGTTCATTGTAGATAAGAACAACTTTACTCGAAATATCGAGCTTCTTAAATATATATTTTTTA